CTCTTTATCCCCCTTTCTACCCCTCCCCCCTCTCTCTCTCTCTCCTTTCTCTGTCGCGATCACACTTCACTCTCGAAGCCGAGATGACGGCGGGACGATGGCGGTTGTTATCCCTCCTCCCGCCTTTTTTTCATCTTTTAATTCATAACCTTCGACCGCCAGTGATAACCTGCAAGTCGCTGATAAGAGGACCACGATGTCTAAGGGGAGAGATCTGAGACGGAGGAGTGCGACGGCGGTAGCGACTGATGAGCTTCGTGAAACTCGGAGATCGAGTTCTATATAGTCGGAAGAGAAAAAGTCCAAAAGCAAAGAGCTTTCGGCACCGGATATCTAATCTCCAGAACCCGTTTCTCGCGATTGTTCAATCTTCCTGTTCTACGTGTTTCCCCTTACATATCCCTCTACGATTTTATTAAGTATGTAGTAAAAGTACGGAGCAAAAATACGGGGAATATTCTTAAATATCTATATCAAATAATTATAGATATCCAAAAGTAATTTGATTAGCGATTTTTCGATATTTCGTAATATCTTGCTTTTTTAAATATTCGTTAATATCGTCTCTTATTTTAACGTTAACAAATTAATTGCAAACAAGCATTAGTCAAAGGAGCATATAATCCTGAAAAATAATAAATATAATATAATCCATTAAACATATCGCGTGTGTAATTTTTCACAGAGATCCTTTACTTCAAAAGTAAAAAATTTAATTTCGTTATACGAATAATTTACAATAGTTTGTTTTAATATAAAAATACTTTCTGTATACAATAACAAATATTAAAACATACAGAATAATAATTTTGCGTACCATAAAATCGCAGCATTATTCCATTTATTTTTCAACAATTTTATCAACCATTAATCTCAGATATTAATGGTTGATAAAATTGTTGAATAAATGGTTATACGTGTGTACGTCTAATTTTACAATAGTTTTGAATTTTTAAAATATGGTAAATAAATATTCACCACAGCCAGATATAATATTTGTCATTTTTTTTTTAATCACGTGGTACTAAAATTTTATTTACCTCTTAATTTTAAAAATTCGTCAATGAGAAGAGGTTAATTAAATATATCGATTTAATATTTCATTACAATTTACGTTACTTTTCAGTCGAACGTATTTCTCACGATACGCATAGTAGTCCGCGTATTTACTTCTTGAAGATACTCCGTAGAAAAAAAGAGAGAAAAAAGAATATGACTTACCAGCAAGTAAACGCGTCGCCTTGTATACATCGAAAATGCGTTTATGGTCTGGCAGCGGACCGATAAGAAGCCCCATAAAACGAACGGCGTCCCATAAGTGTTCGCGGCGCAACTTCGACGCCTTCTTCGGCACCGCGTCCGGGTTGTATCTCGCATTTGTCACGTTTATCGACTTCGCGCCATGTACTCCGCACGGCTTCACCGTGACACAGTTCGACACATGATGAACCCTACCGTCCTCCATCGCAGAATTGGAAAGGTGATACTTTTAAGAAGTGAAAAAGCTTTTTAACTCTTATCCAACCAAGACATCCGTTTTGATGATAACACCAAACTCGTATCATCATAAAGCTTTCGATAGAGTTAAACGAAGCAGGGCAATATTAATTCTTATCAAAATAGCCACATTTCTACAAAATAAAGAACCAGAATTCTCTTGGAATTATCTCTGGAGATGAAGGGCGGGAAAAGCAAAAGATAAAGCAATATATAAAGTTTGTTTTGCAAATACAGGTATGTGTAACTAATCTTTTTTTAAAAAAAAAATGCTTTTTATGTTTCCTTTAGCAGAACTTATTAACAGAAGTTTTAAGAATACAATGGAGATATGATTTTTTTCAGAAAATGCACACGTACGATTTGATTTCTTCTTTATTTAACGTCATAATCACGATATCATTATTTATTATGTTTACATTGTATGACTTGTTTATTGCCACTAAAAATATATATTAAAAGATACCGCAAGGAGAGAATTTTCTTTTAAAATTTACCCTAAAAATATGGTAGTTGTGATACAATACAATATTTTGAATATTTTTACCATGCACTTCAATTAAAAAATTGATCAAAGTTATTTTATACTTATTGTAGTTTTATTAATGAATGAGAGATTTACATACAAATTCTTCGAAATACAATGTTATCCCACGACTGTCATATTTTCAGAGTAAATTCTAAGAAAACATTCTCTCCATGCGCGAACACTTAAAAATTACGACATATTTTTGGATATTTAATAAAATGGTTAAGAATATTTACTAAATATCTATGGGTGGACAGATGCGGTGCACCAATACTTTCGTGAAAAATTCTCCTCGCACGTGAACTGTCCGGGGATAAATCTCGCGCGAAACCGAATTGCTAATTCGCTCCATGTCTTCTTGATTGCGATACAGGCCCATGGAAGCGGAAGGAAACGAAGAAGGAAAAAAAATTTTCTTTTCGTCGCTCTCTCCGCGCCGTAGTGTACCCACCTCCGCGCGGCAGGATGGATGAATGGATGGATGAATTCCATCGTTATCGAGTCGCACCCCCGTTTTACAAACGGAGCAGGCCTCACCCCGCCCGCAAAATCTCTCGGCCGAACGTGCATATTTCCATTTGACACGCCTCGGCGGGCGTCTGATTTTATTAAAAACCCCCGTAACCCGATTTCGCGCGCACTCCCACGGGGAATGAAATGTTTCTTTCGCACTCGCTCGGTTTCCACAAGGTGAGCGCATTTTCGATGCTCCGATGATATACGCCAAGCCACATAATTTTTCCAAAATAGTAATGAGGCACGCTCTAAATTTCTTACAGTGAAATCTCACTCCAAGAGAGTGAAAATGCAACCACCCTTGAAAAAAAGTGAGACTCTAAAAAGAGTGCTCTTGTACTCTTTTTTCAAGAAGTGAAATATTTTCACTTTTTTTTCAAGGATAGTTATATCTTCATTTTCTCAATTTTTTATAATTAAAAAATTTGTTCTATAGATGTATATAATTAAAACCCTCGAAATCGGAATTTTAAAACTTTTGACTAGTCGCCGCGGTCATATTGGAATTGTGACGACATAAGCAAAAAATGACACGTTGAAATTTCTTGCATGTCATTTATAAAGAATATTTATAAAACAAAATGAGATCGTTTTAAAACACTTATAATAATGAGCAGAAGTATCTTTACTTTCCTTGATTGTCAGTAAATAATCATGAAAGGCACGTGAAATAAAGGCTTTGTTTTTCATTTCATGCTTTTACGCCTATTTTATACTGACTGTTAGAGGAGTAAAGATACATTCTGCTTACTTTTACAAGTGTTTTAAAACTATTATTATTTTGTTTATCCAAATTCTCTCTTTATTCACAAATGCAAGAAACTTCAACGTGTTATTTTTTGCTTACGACATTACGATTTCAATATGATCGCAATAACTAGTTAAAAGTCTAAAAAAATTAAAGACAAAAATTTATTATTATAATGAAACTTTACTGAAATTGTTAAGCATGTTTGTTACTGACGTACTTGACTTTTAATTTCCAAATATGATTTAATGTCTTGATATACCTACAAGTATTTTTAACTACCGAAAATATAATTATCTATCAAGGGAAAGACGAAGCATAAGCAAGACGGATCGCATAAAGGAGGAGGAGAGAAAGTCGGCATGGTAAACGAGGTCGAGTGTTGGCAGCGTATAATTTCGATGACAAGCAAAGGGGTGGTTATCTCTCGTTGCTTCTCACCCTCTTTACCACGGACTGCGAGTGGTGAGCCACCCCCGCGTGATTGTATTAATTCAAGCCACCCCTCCACCCTGGCTTCCCATTTACACCTCACTCTCCCTTCTGTTCTACCTCTTCCTCGCATCTCACCCTCCTCCTCTTCGGCCCTCGTGTCGACGTCACCCCTCCTGAAGCACAACTTCCGGGGACAAACGAAGCGTGTCGGCGTCGCGTATAATGAAGCGCGCTCGTTCGTTTCCTCGACGTTTTCTTGTTACCCATTTTCGTGTCCCACGCGAAGATGCTCGTGTCAGTAAATCTAAATTCCGAAAAGCTTAAGATTGAAGATATAATCGACAACTATAGGTATATAGCGCTAAAAGGCAAGAGTTAAAAATTTTTAAAAGTTGAGGAACAAAGCGAAACATATTTTAACATATCGTTACAGAATCATGAATAATTAAATTTCATTGTAAAATTTTATTGCGGAAAAATTAAATATTAACGAATATTAACGAATTAGATTTCGAAACATAAGAGGACGAAAGTAGAATCTTTCTTATAAAAGAATGTAACTTTCTTTACTGTGCACTGATATTTATGGATTTACTGATTACAAGTACTGATATATTTATCATTGAACGAGAGGAAATTATGGCTGTGTTTTAAAATTTACTGCCAGTAACGTAAACTATAGATTTTCAGTATACTGGCAGTAAATTTTGGAACACGGTCTATACTAGGACTGACAGCTGACAATCGCGTGACGTCCATTGTCATTGACGCAATATTATCTCGCCGGTGAGAGTGAATATCATCCTCCTACAGGAGAAGGTTACGGTGCACGTGCGGAGGGGTGGTCGTCGGCATAAAGTGTTCGAAAAGGCGGGAGTGGATGATCATCGCTCGTGGAAGATCGAAGTGGAAGAGGTGGGTGGGAAAAGGGTACCAAGCCGTTTAGCGATATTTCACGGGGTTCTCGTCGCTCGTAAGGGTTTCTAGTGGCGCACGGTATTACCGGAGGCAGTCTTGCAGACTCGAGATAAGAGAAGCCCGGTTCCCTGTTTCCGACGGCGAGAAACGGCGACGGCGGCTAAGGCGCGCGTTCCTCTTCTCCATCTTAGCCTCGCAACACGAGAGTGTGGAGGAAACCGGCGGAAGGAAAGCCGCGAGCAAACCCTTCTGGTTGCTACGCAGTGTCCTTTTCCTCTTTCCCACCCCCAAAGTCACCCGCCACCCACCACCCGCCGCCACCGTAAACTCGGTTAATATCTGCTTATCCCGTCTTACCATCCGCCTCCTTCGACCGTTTCGCTTCCTACGCGGCTTCCTTCTGCTCGTCGTGTTAGTTTCTGCGAAGTATCGTGAACTTGCCGACGTCGACGTCGCTGCGGAATATCTGCCAACGTGAAGATGCGCGTATGCCTTCGAAAGATACGCAGATACTTGGTTATTTGTATATATTTGCATATAAGCAATCATGAATACGTTCTAAAAAGAAGATTTCTTTATAAATATAGAGAAAAATAAATAACCTATGATTTTACGTTTATGATTTTTGTATTAATACTATTACTTCTGTGTACAAAATCACATCTTGAAGTACATCAAATTTTTTTGTTATTTACATGTATTTATTATATGCAATCGCGAATACGTTGAAAGAAACAATATTTCTTTAAAAATATAAAGAAGAATAAATAATTTCGATAAAAAAAAACTTACAAATCTTACTTATATTAGTCAATACTGACATTTCTTTGTGTACAAAATCATGTTTTAAAATATAAAGTTTTGCTGTTTATATGTATCTGCAACTATGATTATATCCTAAAAACAATATTACACTAATATAAATATGGCTGTATTTATAGAGGAAAATTAATAAAAAATAACTTTGATAAAAATAGAACTTACGGATCTTATACTGGTTAATATTGAAATTATTCAAAAAATATTTTGAGATTTTTTCTATCTATTGTACAAAATTGCGTGCTGAAGTATTAAATTTTTCTTTATCTGTTATCACAATTTGTAGAAAGATCTTGTTAAATACATATATTATAATGAAAAAATTCTTGTGTAACTATGTCACTTTTTTGTATGTTTTTTTTCATAGCAAGATAAAGTTTTATATTAGTCTTTTAATATCAGAATATGTATACCTCTAACATCTATCCTCCCTGATAATGAGGGGGTTAATAATTATCTGCTTTTGTAAAAAATATACATACTTTCCCTGTTAGCAAAACGGGGAAACTCGGAATGAGGCGCTTAACGGCGATCCCGCCTCTCTCGGTTTAGCAATTAGCGGCTGTTTAAGTGCACGTGCGCTCTTGCGGTCGGTTAATCTCCGCCATTCCGTGCAGGGACTTCGTTTCGTTCCAATTAGAAAGGAAAATCTCAGTAACAATCTCTCGGTTGGCCGGTCATTACTTATTTATGAAAGGGACACGCACGTGTTCAATTTTGCTCTGATATTTCCACGTGCTTACGCGATCGTTTTTACATGTTTCAACAGGTGCAACAGTTCATACAAATATATACGTTGACTGTTTCTAAATGATTGAATAATATTTTAAAAGTATATTATTTGACGATTTTTTATAATTAATCATAGAATGCCAAGTGGTTGTTATTGGAAACAAAGTTTTGATTTTTAAAACCACTTGTTATCAATTCTGACAAAATTAAAATATTTATTATTATTTAATGTACTTATTATTTCTATTATCTACCAATTATTAGTTTTAATGTAAATATCTTATATTTTCGATCTTAATATCTTATGTTCAAAATTTTGAAATCTAATTTCTAATAAAAATTTCACATGACATTTCAAATTTATTTTACATATAACACATATCCTATACAAGTATGTATATACAAAATCTACGTATATTGAATATGATTACAATATAAAACACATGCATAATTAACAATATAAAACAATCTGGTTCGTACACATTTTTTTAGATATATCGCAAAATGGTAGATAATTTCTAGAATGTTTCTCTCTGAGGATATTACAAATTTTTTTCGGTAAATTTAGCGTTCGCAATTGGCGCTTTCACGCAATATACCCTGAACGTTGCGACGTCCTTGGCGACTCATCGATATAATTATTAAACGGAACGTTTTCTCTCGGGGGGCTGACCGGCGAGGGAAGTATGGCGAGGGAAGCCGACGACGGGTTCGGTGGAGTCCCACACCACACCCGGTGTATCCTCCGGTAATGAACGCAGCCACCTTGAACTGGCAAACGGATGAGCGGCCAGGCATAGGGAGTCTGTAAGAGCGAATCTGAGAGAGAAAGAGAGGACAGCCCCCGAAGAGTAACGGGGGACATGGTAGGTTAGGACGTGGGGGAGAGTAGCGGCGGTGGCTACTAAAAGGGGTTGTGTCCTCTATGTGATGAAAGCACCCTTCCGTGTCCCGCTGAGGCTCTCTCTTCGCGCCGTCGCCACCGCCACCGCCGCCGCCGTCGCCGCGCCGCCGCCTCTGCTTTGGTTCCTTTTCCAATAGCTAGAGAGAGAGAGAAAGTGCCCTTGTCCTCCTTCTCCTCCCCCCCCCTCTCTCTCTCTCTCTCTCGCCGTTTGCGCAACGTCGTCCCCCTGGCCTTCGCATGCACCCACACACCGTATATTCGTCGTGTCGATACGTGTCTGCCAGTTTCCACATATTTCTGCCTCTTCCTCCCTCTCCCTCTCTATCATTGTATGCCTCATGTGTGTGTGCGTGATAAGCCCAGCAGCAGCAGCAGCAGCAGCAGCCATTGACGCCTCGGTGATCTGACGCGATTATACGTCAGCGCGCGCTTCTCTCGCCGTATTCCCTCTTTTCTCTCTCCTTTTTTCTGGCTCTCCTCGCTTTTTGTCCCTCACGAGCTTCACGCCTTTTTCGCGGTTTTTCCAACCGCCGCCGTCGTCGTCGCTGCCGCCTCCACCGCCGCCGCCGCCGCCGCGCCGCAGCTGCCGTGATTAGGCTGAATCGCGCGTAAACGGTGGCGGCTTTAGAGCTGCACCCGAGGACAAAAATGGAAAACGCTACGAGGCGCGCCGACGGTATTTTCATCGGGCTGTAGACTACGAACAGAGACTAGATTAAGATAACACCGCCGTCGCGTCGCTCCGGTTTCAATCCCTAAAAAGAATAAAAAAGTTTGTCATCTCGTCGTTCTTTGTGTTGATGTAAATACGAATATATTCCGACCATATTCATAATCAAGATTCCGGACGAGCTTGAAACCTTTATTCGACGAGTACAAAAGTTATTTTAGTTATTAAACCTCCAAATTTACTTAAATCATTTTAAAACAGATTTTCGTTTGATCAAAGAAACTGTTTAAAAACAAGATTGTAATATGATTTTTTCAAACCTAAACTTAGCTTAAATTCTGATAAGTACCAAATTCAAAATCAAATTGTAAGATTTTACAATTATAAAGTATTAATATTTAATTTCTTATATCTTTAATATTTTAATTTCTATTATTTATATGTATTATATGTAGGATAACTCCGGTACATACGCCGCATCTATCAAAAACTTAATTTATTAAGTATTATTTACTATGTTTATAGTAAACGAACTATATCAGTAAAAACTTTGTAGTATCTACTACTATGAAAAAAATATTAGAAATCCGAAATATTTATTTTTCATATTAAAAAATAAACTTTTTGAAACCCTTGCATTTTTGCCGTCCATTGGAATGGGATACATGGCTACTGATAAAGGGAGGGGAGGGGGGGTATGTACGACTCATGAAAAATTTACAAATAATAAATAAGACGTATAATGACACAGTAACTTATAAAATATACACTAAGTCTTTTACACGCCCTACAGTAATCATTTTATGTAGATTATAATTTATGATAACGTTACTTATTACAGTGACAGATCGACTCAACTCACAATAATTTCATTAATATTAACAGTAAGAAGCTGAAATCATAACACAAGACATGTAACAGAGTAGTTGCGGGAAAATTACCCCTATTCCTTCTATTTTTTCTGCCTTCTGCGGCGTAAATCCCAGCGCGGCGTATTTGCCGGAGTTACCCTAACAATAAAGATGCTGCGCACCCGTATTTAAAATATTTCACGATTAAGATCACATTAGTCGTTACGGCACACACGGCCGCGATAAAGACAATAGAAAACATGGAGATCCCCAGAATCAGTCTCCATTTAAACTTTCCGAAATCCTCGTGATGTACGAGAATGTATAAGGTAACCGGGATCAGTGTGGCCAATGTAGATATACATATACCTCCGACCAAACCGGTAAATAGATCGAGCTTCGGAATCGCCGCTGCCAGAATACCTGTAAAATACAAGGATCCCACTTTATCTCGGAAAATTTCCGTTCACGGAGTAACAACGATGCGCGTATCGATTAGCGTAATTAGAGCAAATTAAAGCGAGTAATGCGAGTAACATTGTAGTAACTCCGGAGTGATCCCGGTCAAACGAGACTTCTACAAAATTGAACGTCTACATCAAATTCCGCGAAAGTGGATTCCTAAACTTTAGTAATATCTGGGTCCAAAGCGGATCGTAATCGGACGGATTGATCGATCCTACGGAGTTGGTCGCTTCAAGATAAAGAGAGGGAAGGGGATTCAATCCACCGCGGTCCATCGAGCTTGGCCGAGTTTACGCTGAAGCTAACGCGAGAGTAGGACAATGCGTGAAAGAGGTTTAAGGAGAAATTATCATTTACACGTAATGATGGTGATGCCGAAACGAATGATCAGATCCCAGAGGAATGGTGTTCCTTTGCAGGTACCGTCTTCAATGGCCGGTATGGCGTAGCCATAATTCAGAATACTAATGGGCATGTAACACTGCAATCCATATGTGAAGTATATTGCCAGCGCTTGCATTATCAGAGCCGCTAACGTCGGTCTAAATGATCGATGACATGGTGAGAATGTATTAATACTAAGAATATTTAGAAATCATGGATTTCGCAATAGTATTCATTAACAAACACTTTTTCTTTCTATAAAAATATTTATAATCTTTTTCTAAATCGCAAATTTCTAAATCTCGATATTTAAATGTACCGATTTCTATGTTTAAAGCTTAGCAATAATTTAATTAAAGGTAAAATTTGCAATTTATTTATTTTTTAATTAAATTTATTCAGGGAAACGATTAGACACAGTTTTTTGTTTATTATTATTTACTACTATGTATATTGTATTTAACGTAGGAAATACATTTGTAATATTAAATTTATTAAAAATATACAATATTTCTATTATTTACTATTTTGTAGTAATATTTTTTAATAAAGTTTATTTTAAGTTTTGTAATAAAGATTTATGAAAAATTAGACGAGGAAATAACAGAATATTTTCTTAAAATTAAAAGTCACGAAATAATAACAAAATTCGAAATTTTTAAGCGCGTCTTTGGCAAAAAACCCCTATATTTTTAATAAATTCTGTATTACAAATTAATTTTTCCTACACATTAAACATATTATAGTAATAAATAACATCTAAGCAGAAAATTATATCTATTCACTTCCTTCAAATAAAATTGCAAATTTTGCCTTCAAACTGATAATTTATGTAAACCTGTCTCTTCTTAAATGACCTTCTAATCAAATGAATCAACATATCTGTTATATAATAAAAAATGTGAGATAAATGTTGCGTATCTACTAGCATCATAGTCTTTATAGTTAATGAAATCACACTTATACTACCCGTCAAGCGTCTCGTGATTACGAATAAAATTGCCAAGCGCAGTTGGTCCCCACTTCACATAACCAATAGATCCGACGAAAATGTGTATTATGACCAAAAATGCCATGCCCCAGTTCAATATTCCACACATTTTAACGTAATTCCAAGGTTTTTTCATACTATGTTCTATCGCCAATATCTGAAGATATCGTATTTTAAAATGTCATTATGAAATGCATATTAATTATCGAGAATAAAAAGTTCGGAAAGTTACTTTAATTTACTTATAAGTTACTTTTTATTATAGAAATTGAGTACAATAAGTTCGAATATTTTAGTTTTTATATTATATTTATCATTTGCTCTAATTTTATATTATTTTTTGTACTTCTATAACGAATAAGCTAAAAAATAATGTATTAGTAATTTATAAAATATCTTTCCCAACCTTAATGAAAAATCTATAAACAATTCTAAATATTAAAATTAATGATTTAAACAGCATTAAAATTAACTAGTTGTAGGAGATTAAAATTAAAATTCAATTTATTATAGATTAAAGCCTCACCACTCCCGGCGAACACATACTGAAGAAAACCACGCCGATGAACTTCGGATATAAGTCTATGTTCGGTCCAATCGTGGTCCACTCGTCGCCAATTCCATCTTTCAAAGCGTACACGATTCCAATAAGCCCAGCGGCGAAGAGCAAAATGTTCCCGACAATAGAAATCGGTGCGATGTCCGCCAAATTCTTTGCCATGTTCATTACAAAAAGAAGTGGAAATATCATGAGCGCGTAGTAGCTTTGACCGATGACTTTTTCGGTATCTATACATTCTTGAATTATACCGGAAATGAATACAACGTAAACCGAACCAATCCCAATGTAGCATGCTAACATAATGATATCGATGATGAGTCTACAAATGAATGAAAATTCAAACCGCTCTGTTTTTAATGTTTACTAAACTTATACCCGTTTCTATCAATGTATATAATTTAATTTTAATAGCCATTCAACTAACTTCATGTTTTTCTAGTTCTATAATAAAAATCAGAAAAAGGTGAAGAGTAAGTTGATCCGAGATTAAAATTAAAGTTTACATTGATACAAACGGACATTAATATTATTTCTTATTGTTAGTATATATATATATATAATATTTATCTCTTCCTAGCAAAATACATGTATTTTTATTACGTTTAATTATGTCTATGATTATCGTATTTTAATATCAAGTATTGCATTGATATAAAACATGATTTATCGTTCTATTCTCTAAAGTTCTTGAAACGTCACTCCAAAAGTTAAAATACTGCCACTATTGAAAAAAAGTAATTGAATGAGAATAGTAGAATTTCACTCTTTTTTGGAGCGAGATTCATTTTAAAGGAAAGAAATCTCACTCCATTTTTAGATCTCATTCCAAAAAACGGGTGAATATCTGCCATTCTTATTCAAGAATGCAAATTTTTCACTTTTATTTAATAATGACAGTATTTTAACTCTTTTGGAGTGAAATTTCACTCCAAGAAATTTAGAGAGGTATCCAGCGCGAAATAACGTGATTATTGAAATTACGAACGTTGCAGCACGCGGAGAGAGCCACGGTTTTCGCACATCCGTAGTTAAAGTAGCGACTACCACCTCGTCATACACCAAGATGGGTTTTCTCAGACGAACGCACATCATATGGTGAATTCTAACGAGCAACTGAAGGGATCCGGTTATCAGCAATCCCATAAACGCTGTACCGACAATCCCGATAAAGAGCCCGACACAGGCGAACGCGTTCGGCATGGCGAAGAGACCCGTTCCGGCTGCGCTTTTTATCAAGTTTGCGAGAGACCCAAAGTCTCTGCAAAAAAAGCAATGTTATATAATAATTGAAATATTATTAGTATAGAAAACATATGCTTAGAAAACAGGAACATTAAAAGAGAGAGAGACAATATACTTGAATAATTAAAAAAAATTTGTTTATATGACTACATATTGATGTTTCTTTTCTAAATAAGTTCTTCCTGAACTGTAATTCAATAAAGTCAATTCTCTTATCCTAAACAATCAAAGAATTGTCTGTTTATTTTTAAATATATTTAAAAGAAGATTATAAAGATCGACTTTGTATACTTTTCAAGAAAAAGGTACGAAGATCAAGTGATTTTCAGAAGTGTTTCAAAAGTTTTAACTTTATTTGGCACTTTATAATTTCTCTCGTAAAAAATAACATTTTTAATTCAATGTACAAATAAATATTAAAGTAACAATTAAAAGTACTATGATAATTTTATATAACTCTCTCAGTTATAAAATATTTTATTAAAAAGTAGTCTAATAGTGAAAATTTTACTGTAACGTTGCTAGAAAGACAAACAAATTAGGTCCGGTATTCAATGTGCTAATAAACATTAGAATTAAACGAATAGTTTAAAGAAAGCAAACGTACGACACTGGTCTGTAAGTGATACGATTCAGATGAGGATCATAAGCTTCTTGTTGAGTAGTAGATTCGCTTGGTTGTCCTTCAACTTCTTGTTTATTCCTAAATTATAAAAGAATATCACAATAAAAGTAATTTAAGTATTTGCAATGCAGTTATGATTAATTATAATAGCAGATATATTAATAAATGTTTCAATATTTATAAGTTTGTGATTATATGCTATATTTTTTCAATACAATTATATATTTTTATTACATATAATGTAAATACTTTTATTACAAATTATATCTAAATTACTAAATTATATCATTTGTATATATATATATAACCACTTTTATTACAAATTATATCTACTTTATATCTATTCGCGTGACAAGCAGTATAATATTTTCGTGTTTCTTTAAATTTTCTGTCAGTATCAATAGATAAAGTAAAAACTTAATATCATTGTGTAAATATATCAATCATTTAAGTCAATAATAAACCATCAGTTACTTCTCAAACGTTATAAAATCTGCCTTGGCTTATTAAGTTTATAAATCGCACCAACAGAGTTGCGCATTCAACAGAATTACACTTTTGAAATAACTTCAAAGATCTACTTACATCTTGACCTGTCAACCCGCGTAGAAATAAGCAGTTTTAAATTCGAGAAATACAATCGTTTTCAATAGGAATCTGCCCGATTGTGCGTCAATCTGTCGCGATCGCTGACACGGCCCGAGGAAAGGATCTCCCTCTCGTCGTGGTTTTCCACGGCACGTCGACTCGCGACAGCCGTCGGCTCTCACGGCTGATTACAGCCGATTAGTCGACATTAGCATGGATTTCTCGCGCAACTAATTTTCACGGGAAGAACGCACGAGTCGGAGATGGATGTGCCCGGCCGCGGTCGGCGCCGGTATTGTGATCCTCTCGCTCGGCTGGACCAAGCTGACCGACTTAGCGCGCGCGAACGCGAGAGCTCAGTTACGGAGCTTTCCCGTCAGGGATTTAACGCCCCGCGGGTCCTCACGGATTGGATAAAGGGGATCATGGACGACGTCCGCCGCTTGTGGGCTTTAACCGTGAATCCTCGCGGTTAAGGCCAACGACAAACCGCTTTCTTTTCCTCGCCCCTCGGAGACGAAACTTTCTTGTGTCAGCAGCGTTCCGGCAGATCCTCCTTTCAGATATTTCTTTCGTCGATGTCTTTGGGTCGATCTTGCTGTAGGGATGTACATAGAACGGGATCCGTCGGGCGTATTAACGCGCAGATTGCTCGTGAAAAGCTAATGCGCGAGATGTAACTCACGATTTTTTATGTGTGTATTTTATTTTGTGTCTTCTTGTAACGTGAGACATGTGTGTGTCACGAAAATTATAATTTTATTTATTTTATATTGAATTTTATATGATAAAATGACTAAAATAAATCTGAGTCTCTATTTATAAAAGATTATTAAAAAATATTGTTTAATAATGTAACTTAATTGTTAGATAAAATATTTTTCTTATTACACCTTCATCTCTTGAAAAAGCTTTCTCCCCCAAAAAATACCTTAGTATTCTTCATAATGAAGTAAACATCGGAATAATTCTTATAAATTATGACGTTATGTCAATATTCCTCTCTGAACGATACCATACGACGGTGTATGTAATATTTATATATATTTGACGTATTAGAGATAATAAAGGAGTAAAAATGATCTCGTTGCCTTATTTAAAATTTAAATCCTAGCGAAACTGCACTAGATTAAAACCGTTTGAAAAAGAAGCGGTTCCTAAGGAGGTTAATGGATCTCCGTCGAGTTTACGAGATGGGTATCGACTGGGGTACAACGGAGGGACGTTGCCAAAGGTAAAAAACGTGAAAAGGGACGATAATATCGGGGACGTCCCGTGGTTCTCGACTGTGACTAAATCCGCGGTGCCCATGCAGTGTTTACACTCGAGATGATGCCTCCTAATGCTAATACGTCGCTCGGGCGCGACGCAATACGCGACGTAGCCCCCGGGTCTCCCGGTTTCTTAATGCTCAATCGCAATCCAATGAAAAGTGTATGAATGGCAAGCGATTATCAAGTCGAGCGGGCGCCCTCAATGTGTCCGTCGAGGCGTCCGCGGTAACCCCGCTGCGTTAACCGATGTCGAAGCCGAGCCAAATGGTACGATTCGCCCTCTTTTGCCTCCCTCTCTCGCGGACCCTCCCTTCCTCTCCTTCTCCGTCCCGGTTCTTCTCCTTTTTTTCCTTCTTTTCGCTCCATGGACCGGTTCGCGACCCCATAAACTCCCCGTAGAACAAATTTGGAAACGCGGCACAGCACGTGGCTGGATACCGTTGGGCGCATTCGTTGTTATTAATCGAGTCAAAGGGTAACTACTGCGGTAATTAGCCACAGAGTATGTACAATAAACGGCAGCTAATATACAATAAATTGCGATTAATAGCGAAAGAAGATCGATGGAGACAATGGTAGAATAAATGTTTTGCATTGATATCTTATACAAATTTTTTTATTATTTGATGCAAGTCGAGTAAAGCAATTGGGACTATTGTAATAATAAACGCTACAATGCAATATATTCCAATGATAAAATTTGTCTATTCAAAATATAACAATATGATACTTTGTAGCTATTGCATGGAACAAACTATGGAAATCGCGTCGAATGGTATCGCGTTATATTTCGTTAATTATAATTATAATTATTCGATTATAATTTCTGTACAATAGTGGAACGTTGCCGAAGGGTGAGAGGAATTTCTCCCTTGTATTGGTAATTAGCCGCCGATGGTTTTCCATAAAATATCGATAATCGAGTGTACTATAGTAACGAGCGCGATTTCCAATGCGGTAAAAGAGGTAGCGGGAGAGGAGGAGGCAACAATTGGACAGATCTAACATGTCTGACGTGCGCTTTTTCCGCATCGTTGCCAGCGGCGAGCGCGATGCGCAAAAGCCTTTTTGCCGAAAATGCGACGTTATTTATCGGGGAAACGTTCGATTCGATTCGGATACAGCAAACGGGTATACAGAACAAACGGGCGGGGCGGCTCGCGGGCTCGTTGCGCGTTCGAAAAATCATTCGAGGATCTTGCTGCTGACGTTTTTGCGTTTCGCTCAGCCCGCGGGGACGACGTGTGTGCGCGTTCGCCACGAAGAGAAGCAGAAGAGTAGTAACCTGGACGCTACTATACTCGCTGCAGGCCTGCAGCCGCCGATGGCATTCCACCGACCGATTTTGTTTGCCGACACGCTCGCTCACCCCTCCTCACGGCGCCGTGCCGTGTACTACTGAAGGATCGTTTTTCGGAGTCACTGGTTCGCGTCATATCCCGAGCTCGAGAGCCAAGAGCTCGGCCACCTCCCGTGGGGGGTACCTCGAGATTCTGCACGTGCCGCAATGAGATATCCACCCGATCGAAAGTGCACCGTTAATCAATGCTGATATTCTCTAATATAGAATGTTTGTATCGAAGCTGTTAACGACTAGACATCTAGAAGCAACAACAGTCTTCTTGAATAAAACTCGGGTAAACGAAGTGTTGCGATTTATATTATGAAACAAGCATTTCTCTTGGATTCTTCCGTTAACGAGATCATCAGAGTTCAATAGCAAGAATTTACAAGATGTTTTTATAGAAACTGTATGTTGTTGATTTAATAAAAGTGATGAATAATTATCAAATGTAGGTACTTTATGTGTCATATAAATAGTCATCTAATGTATATATATGATGATTTTAATTAGAGCTGGATTTTAATAAGGACTGATTTTTCTCTTAACTAATAATTAAAGTTAAAGTTAATGGTTATAAAATTAACATAGTTATGTTAAATATTATAAACAAAAATTAACTTAAATTAAAAATAATTTTAAAAAGCATTATTTAATTAATCAAAAAATCATATAAACAGGGAATTGGGAATTGGCGCTGTAGACGGTGCGCAGTTTTTGTTTCTTTAAATTAATTATATATTATATTATTACTTGTAATTTATTTATTAAATTATTTAATTAAATTGAATTAATTATATTTATAATAATTTATTATAACTAATTCTATTTCGAACGATTAAAATTAAAAATAATTGTAATATGAAATATAAATTTAATATTTTATTTGCAAATAAAGGTTATATAAAATAATATAGATTAAATAATATAATTTTTTAAGAAAATATTTTTTTTCAAAATTATTTATAACAATAATATAAAATTAATTGTAATTTTGCATAATGTAAAACACACGTTATAAATAATTCTGGAATTTTAATAGAAATTTTTTCACAATTCGCTAAAAAAAATCTTATTTCTTTCTATTTAAAGTAACAAGTCATATGATCGTAACGACAGTTGCAACAGATAAAAATCAAATTCATTGTCTAATTTATTATTGCAAATTTTATTAAAGAATAAATATTAGTACCTAAAGAGACGAAAAACTAACTTTTAATTTATTAGAAAATGTTAAAAAGTTAAAATATTAACAAATTAATATGTTTAAAATAACTATAAGTTGAAGTTAAAAATTAACTCATTTGAAAATAACTAAATTACAAGTTATTAATCTTTTAACTTTATTATTTAATTTCTAACGTTTTAACTAGTTATTATCCAACTCTGATTTTTTTTTATATAAACGGGCATCCTATAATATATAAGTTCACCAAAAACCATGAAATTTACGAAAAATCATTTATTCGACATGTCTTATTTTTCATTTATTTTCCAGCATTTTCATGGCTATAAATCAGTCGATCAATATTTAATAAAGTAAAATCCCCCTTCTTTCTTTTTATCTCGAACTAGTCTTGAGGGTTTCGAGCAAGCTCGTTAGTTCTCGAATACGGTCACTCGGGATATAAAGAAAATAGGTGTCGCCGAGACGGACGCGAAACAAGACTGGTGCAACGTCTAACACGTGCGAGAGAGTTGTATAGATCGCGTCAGATGTACCGGCCGATTCTTCTGTCGAACACGGGCCGTTTTAGAGTCGGACCGATCGGGGACACCCATCGGGCTCATATTCCGGAATAATTTAATGACTGCACACTCCGACTCCCGGCATTGCTCCGGCGTTGCCTGTCGCCGCGGGCCGATGCTGGTTAAACGCTTCACAATTAAACGCGAAATCACGGGGCATCGATGAGTACCGGAATAACTACCGGGAAAGCTCTAGCAACGATTTCGTCGTCAAACTCTCTTTAATGCGTTTAAAATAAGCCGCTAAGACACGAGTGACACGCCGAATGCATCGTCATTAAATACGCTCGATTTTTTCTTTTTTTTTTTTTGCGTGACAGAATCCTATCATGAACGATGACGCTTTGGTACTTTATGTATAAAATTTGAGAAATATAGAAGAAAGAGAGAGAAAGAAACAAGAAGATATCAAATAGCTGAGTTGAGAATATTGAAATAAAAAAAGATCAAATCTTGTATACGAAAGCAAAGTAAAAAAATTAAATATTATTTCTTTTATATAAATCTGTAATTAAATATGCCAAAAAGATTACTGCTAATCTAATTCGATGTGCAGAATAAAAATATATGCGAAGTAATACGGAATTACATGATTTTTCTTTGGAACAGATATGAGGGGTGAAATTTGTAGAAAATTATATAAAATATAGTCTTTCTTTGTATTCTTCGATACGAATTCCTGAACTGAACATCGCGAACAGAATGTTAGTCGCGTTTTCGTTTTCGTTACACAGATCCGAGCATTTTTTCCGCGTAAACAGCGTTGGGTGAACACGCGGAGCGTTTTCGCGCGGCGATGACGCGAGTTTTTCCGGCGCGCGAAGCACGCTTTAGGAGTATGCGTGATTTTAAACTGCGATGTGCACGCGTGTGTACAGGAACAAAAAAAAAAAATCGGGAAACGCAAAGGGAGCGGAAGGTGGCACCGTGCGTACAACGGGGGAAGAAAGGGTAGCGAGGAGGGAGGAGGGGCGGCGGGGGCCCGTCAGGCGGCGTTGGAACCACAAGAGTGTGAAAATGTTTTGCAATTTCGAAATCAGGCGTGCCTGCTGGTTTGCGCCAAAGCGCGTTACCGGAAACCGCCAACCGGCGGGCTGCGGACAGCACCGGCATCCGCCGCAAAAGCGGATTGCGGTTCCGCCGGGTAACACGCATTAAAAACGCCCGACGCACACGCGCGAGCTCGAATGCGATGCGATCCTCTCTCTTCTTTTCTCTCTCTCTCTCTCTCTCTCTCTCTCTCTCTCGCTCTCTCTCCATCTCGCAACAGAATAAATCTATCCGTTATTCTGCTTCTTTCCCACTCGTTCTGTCTATCTCTTTTTCAGACTGTTCTACACAGACCGGACCGCGTTCGCGCACGATCTGCTGGAAAAAAAAACAATACGGATTAACGCTCCCGCGTAATCGCGTTGTGGAAAACGCTCGGTTTCGCGTTAAAGTTGGCATTCCCGATCGCACGTCATGCTGCATGCTAAAGTGCGTGTTAGGGCGCGAGTAATATTATAATCGCGTGTTCGAATTTGAGGGAATATAACGTGGCATGTTTAAAAACGCTTCGATTTCACTTCCGTATTACTTGATAATAGGAAGGTTTTGCAATACCGTTTATCCAGATACGGTGAACGCTAAAGTCTGATTGTTTTCTTCTTAATAATTAATTATTAAAGGATAATGTGACTCTTTAGCGTTCACCGTATCTGGATTCACGTTATTGCAAAAACTCCCTAATGTTGATGAAATTTCGATTGTTTTCTTAGACATCAAAATTATTAAATATTTTTCTATCGAAATTATAAATGAATTTTATCGAAATATCTAATATGTACGCACGATACCAAAAGTAGACATGTAACTTACAACTTACATTAAACAACATGTAAGTGAAATGTTTTGTTAAATAAAAATAACACGCGCGTAATTAGTTATGTGAAGAGACACATTTAGCAAATGTGAACCAACGTTAAAAAAGATAGTCGGTGAAAAAGAAATAATTGTGGCAATCGCAGAAATTATCGTTTTTCTTGTGCACAGTTTTTACATAATAAAAAGAACAAAATAACAAAAAAGGAGATGGAAAATGAAAGATGTTACATTTATCTTACATTATATTACGATATTATCTTGCAAAAAATACGTTATTATACAAACTGCCTATGATTTGGCCAATATAGTAGACGTTGCGTTGGTTCATTTAATTTGTTAAAAAAAAAACTGCTTTTATAGTGAGTGTTATTCACTGTCAACATTGACAATTCGTGATTCTAATTAGCCACATGAAATTTATACACTTGACAGGGCCAATGTCACATTGGCCAATTGATATACTTATATTGGCTCTGTCAGTCTTTACGGCAAGATTGATGTTAATGGCTGTGTTCATGTTAAGATAACATACCTTTTTCAGTTCAACATTCAACTGAACATCTTATTTCTTCACGTTGCTCCACGTATTTTGCTTCGAAAGGACGCGCGATTTACAGAGTTGCGGTAATGAACGGCAGGCAAAAGCGTTTCATTTAATATTCCGAGGCAAGGGTCGGTGATAAGAATAGCCGGATGGGGTATACCTCTTTCTAGGTGTACACGTACGAAGAAATACTCGCGAAACGAGCCGTAACGAAGGTCTCGAAAGAGTTGTCGGTGAGTTCAAAGTATCATCCCTTTTGCGCGAGATCGTCGTCAAAGGGACGACGCGCGTGTCTGCTCCCCCGTTTGCGATTTTCACTCGGCTGCCCGTTCCCGCCGTCTCGTACATATTTTCGTATATAGTTTCCACCCTTCAAGACCAGTTAATAATATACATATACATTTACAGTCTTTTTACTGGTCCCTAACTGTCTTACGAGACGCCAACTGCTATACAATTAGTGAAAGCTACAAAAATTTAAGGGTGGATACTTACAATTTCTTGTTGTGTAGAATTCATTTAACGTTGAAAAAGAAGCAAAAAATTAAACTATAATTAAAATTAATTAATAAAACAGTATAATTTCTTCATGCTTTTTCCCCTAAAAAAAAAACTAAAAATAATAACTGTTCTCTCGACAAAACGACGAGGGTAATTGTTTCCTGGGTAATTTTTTTAAGGGATTACAATCCTGTTTACTAATTTGTTTTCTCTCATCACAATTTTCAGAAATTTGCGATTAAAATTGCACAAATAAATTTTAGTGTATTTAACATATTATAATTATAATATACTTATATTACATCGTTTTTGTGCATATTTTTGTTGAATAATCTAATTTACAATTTTATTTGAATTTCTATTAGCTGTTTTATTAAAAAATATAAGAATGTTATTTAAATTTGTTTTATTTTTGTGTATTGTAAATTATCCCTATTTGTTTCTTATATTGCGTTAGACAACTGAAAATACGCGATGCAATAATAAAAATTTTATCAAAATTAATCGAAACAAAAAATTTTTGATATA